CCTAGTTCAGATAGCGGGGTAAGTAAAAGAGCAGGGTTGAGACAGAGGGTCTACTTCCAGACTCCCTGCTTTAATTACTACCTACAATTAAATAAGCAAAATAAATAAATAATTACATGTGCACATGACCAAATATTTTACTCTATTTTCAATTAATGAATGATTATTTTAAGAACTTTTGCTGGCATGGAGAAGTATATGACCCTTTTTGTGGATGAATAAGATAATAAAGATGTATACAACATAGCACAATTCTATTAGATTAAAATGATTTCATACGTAGTGTACATGCATATACATTACAGACTTAGAAAAAAATATGGACCCACAGTTTAACAGGTAGAGGAATGACTGGCGGTTTCTATTTCTCACCTTAATAATTTAATGAATTTTTCAAAGATAAATTTTAAAAGCTATATTTGGGCTCCCAATCTCAGTGCAACCTGTGAAGGATTTGAAAGTCTTCATTCCTGTCCTCATGAGAGAAAAACTGAATATGCTAAAAACAACAACAACAAAGAAAAAACACCTCAGGCCTCACATACTATTTAAGGAGTTTCTAGGAAAAAATGATGAAATTGGAGGAGACAAAAACAAGGAAACAGAAGACATCGTAGCCTCTCATGCTGCAGGTGCAGCAAAGAGCAGATGCAGCCTCATCCCAGAAAGATGAACAGAGACCCTTGCACCAAAGGCCTCACTGTCTTGATTCCTTTTATCCATCATGCTTCTCTTTCAGCCAAGACAAGGCAAGCGATAGAACCAGACTCTGATATGACAGAGATTTAAAAGGATCCAACTAGAAGTTGAAAAATGACCCTGATTAATATGCTAAGCGTCCATATGGAAAGAGTAGACCAGGGAAGAAGATCTTGCAAACAGAGAAGTGGAAACTTTAAAAGTGAAGCAAAAGGAAAGGCTAGAAATCAAAAACACCCTAACAGAAATGAAGAGTGCCTTTGACGGACGCACTGGCCAACGGGACATGGCTGTGGGAAGACAGTCAGCTTGAAGATACATCAGTAAATGTCTCCAAAGCTGAAATGCAAAGAGAAGGGGGAAAAATGAAGAAGAACAGAATACTCAAGAACTGCAGAACAAATACGAACGGTATAATATATATATACGTGTGAAGGGAACACTGGAGAGAAGAAAGGCACAAATGAAATACCTGTAGTCAGCAATAATGGCTGAGGATTTGCCAAAATCCATAACAGACAACACACCACAGGCCCAGGAGTTTCAGAGAACACCAAGCAAGACACACACTGACAAATCTACACATGGACACATCCCATTCAAACTTCAGAACACCAAAGACAAAGAGAAGACCTTGAAAGAAGCCAAAGGAAAAGCTATTATCTACAGAGGAACAAGGACAAGGATGACATTGTTCTTTTTGGTTAGAAGCCAGGGAAGCACAGAGTGACATTAACTGCCGAGTAAATGTCCCGCCAGCCCAGAGTGCTTCATGCAGTGAAGTGATCCTTCAAAAATGAGGAGGAAATCAAACTTTCACAGATGAACAAAATTGAGGAAATCTGTCCTAAGTAGACCTGCCTTGAAAGAAATGTTGAAAGAAATTTTTCAGAAAGAAGACAAAATGATAGAGATGAGAAATTCAGATCGACATTAAAACGAAGAAAAAGAAGAGGAGGAGGAGGAGGAGGAGGAGGAGGAGAATAAATGAAGTGAGCCAAGCACACACTCACTCTGAAGATGCGGGAGACCAGGAGCCCAACGTCACCACCCTCACCAGGGCCAGTACTGCAGGCAGAGCTCTGCGGGGGGAGGGCACACTGAGGGACCACAGTTACTGGATCTTCCTGGCTGAGAAAGAACCCAGACGCTTCTGGAAGTGCATCAGAAGCAGGACCAAACATGGCTTCTGCCTTCAATCCCTCCTCAGTCTCCCCCACACAGCCAGAAGCGTTGGCTCTCTCAGCAGCACGGCACCATCCTACCAGACGAAAGCGTCCATGAAGCAGAATTGGCGACAGCCTGCACCTGCCCCAGAGCACTCAGCTATTCCAGTCCAGCTGAAGGGGACATCCCCTGACCTTCTTCCTCAAAGGAACAGTACGAAATCCCACCTGTCACCATCTCACACCTGGGAGGGGTCATTCGGCTTCATACCCAGCCACGACCCCACCTGGAGCACACGACTGTAATCCCAGTGGCTCAGGAGGCTGAGGCAGGAGGATCTCAAGTTCAAAGCCAGCCTCAGAAACTTAGCAGATCCTAAGCAATGTAGCGAGACCCTATCTTAAAATAAAAATTAAAAAAGTGGGTGGGTGGGTGGTCTGCGGTTGAGGCTCAGAAGGAATTACTTTTTCCTGGGGCTTCTGAGGGAGCATGTCCCCGCCAAGTACTTGGTTTCTGATTCCTTACTCCAGAACTATGCAAGAATCGATTTCTGGTGTTTGAAGCCAAAAGAGAGTTTATCTGTTTTGTTCTTTTTTTTTTTCTTGTGAACTAATATTACTATTTTTTTTATTTTTTACATACATGACAATAGTGTAAAATTATTATCCATTTACAGCACAATTTTTGTAACTCTGTATATAAAGTATGTCATGCCAGATTATGCCATTATACATGTGCTCTCTTTTTTTGCATTACAATTCTTACTACACATTTATACCACCATTTATCATATCTCTGTTTGTACACGAGGTATGTTGACACGAAATTCACATCTTCATACATGTATCTTGTCTAATGATGACCGTCCACCATCCTTGCTATTCCCCTTCCCTCTCTCTTTCCCTCCCACCCCTCTTCCAGTCTGTACAGGGGAGCGGCTGGGTTTCTGTCTGCTGAGAAACACAAGGTGCTGCTGAAAGTCAGAAGACATTGTCCATCTTTGACCATCTCCTCCGGCATGTGCAGCAATATCTCAGCTGTACCAATGGTGACATCCCCATGTGACCTCACAGTAGGAGCTGGGATGTGGTAGAGCCACCTAATGTGATAGAACAGGTATCAATTTGTTCTTCAAATATGCTTTTAATTTCCAGCTGAATGCCTAGACATTTGGGTGGAAGTATTCCAGTGGAGTTTGAGATCATTTCATTCTCTTTGTGTTTGTCTAAAAAACTCTTCTCTCCCTTTTGAGCCCATCCAATTCTAATGTGAATCTGCCAGGGTCCCACAACCGACCAAAGGACAGATGACGTTTAAATGGAGAAAACAGACTTCAGGAAGGTGCATGTGACAGGTGGGAGCCGCGCACAGGGAGAACCCCACCCCTACCTGGACCTCGGAAGCGATGGGGACTCCGAGGGAGGCCCAGTGAGGCCCACACTCAGCCCCTGAAGGAGACAGAGGAGGCACTTGGACTGGGAGGGGCCAAATCCTGCCCAACTTGTCAGGGTTGGGGTCTTTGGAACTCCAAGGAAAACTCCCAGCAGGGTTTTAACGGAATGCCAAGACTCTTAGACAAAGGCTGGTTTTGCTCATTTTCTGATCCTGCGTGGTGCCTTGCACAGAACTGATGACTGACATATTTGTTGTTCTGGACTCTGAGAGAAGTAAGTAGGAGTTGTGTTTAGTAGTGGAAACTGAGGGAGGGGGCGTGGAATTGAACTTGAAATGGATCAAAGGTTGTTTGTCCCTCTGGAAGTCTGTTTTCTCCAATTACCATATGTCAGGGTCACATGAAATAAAAAAGATGCAATTGCTTTCAAACAGCACAGCATCAACATGGAGAACAGATTATTTCTTGTGTGTACTGGTTAAAACCGTGAACTATGAATTCACCTTGTCTAAAATTGGCACCTATTTCTACTTTCTAGCTGTGTGTTCCCGGGCAAGTTCTTTAGCCCCTCTGTGCCTCCCTTTTCTTATCTGTAAAAGGAGAGTACAATAATAACACCTAATTCATCTCTGTGTGGTGAAGATTACATGTGAGTACACGAAAAGCATGTCAAAGACTGCCTGGTACAGAGTTAAATGCTTGGTAAATGTCACCTATTATTTAATTGCGCACCAATTTCATGGTGCATATAAAAATTTTTCCCTAAGTTTAAAATAATTTGCTCTTGAAAGCATTCCCATTCCTGACTCCTAACAGGGGCTGCTGTTTATGTGCTCATAACAATTATGTAATGGCAACATGACTTTTACAGAAATGTTTAATGCATCCGTTTTGGGTTGGGCTTATTACACAAAGCAATCAGAGTCTGCCTGCCTAATATTAAATTGTTTTCTGATACATTCTGGATAATGCACTTTGGAGAACATTTAAAGCTACCAACACATAAGCCCGTGGCATGTAATTTTCCTTGATTTTCAGGTCATTAGAGGCGTGACTAAATGTGTGCTGCTCATACACAGGCTTGGTTTGGTTTTTTTTTCCCTCTTCTTGCCCATTCCTCAGAATTTACAAAGAGCCTGTCTTTTCATAGTTTTCTCCCCCACCCTCCCTCATGTGCCCATTAATGAAAATGACCCTTAGCTCATGAGCATTCCCACCAGTATATCACCGAAGCTCATGGCCGCTCAGAGTCAGGTCTCAGCTCAGGAGGCAAAATATGTATTCTATTTTTTTTTCCCCAGCAGCAAAACAAGATCCTGATCTGCTCCTTTCATCCATCATTCTCCAAGTAGCCCATGACACAGACAAAAATCAAAGCACAAGTTAGGACCGAACCCGCTGCAGATTAGAGATCAGTGACAGCAAGGCAGGTCCCACTGTTTCTTCCTATAAAGTGTCCCCCGAACAGGCAGGCAGGCTGCTGTGCAAGGCAGCACTCCCCTGCTTGTTGACAGAATTATTTTTAGAAAGTAATGCTTTCCCATTTATGAAACCCAGAGAGAGGCGGCAGGGTGTGTGGGCGGTAGTTCCCAGGCCTGGCTGCCGATCAAAATCACCTGTGGAGCTTTTAACAATCTGCAGATGCCCTGACCTCACTCGGGACCAATGGCTTGGAGCCTGGGATGCACGTGTGAATTGCCTGGGGTTGGGGGGGGGGGGTTTGAAAACTGGAAGCCTGGGAAGCTGGCAGGAGGCAGGGCTGGGTCAGAGGTCTGGCTTCACCGCCTGCAAAGGGGATTCCAACACCCAGCCGGGCCAAGAAGCTGCTCCCGGTCAACCCAATTCATTTATTCATTTAGCGAAATATTTAGGGACAGCTCTACAGGACGGCATTGCTGGCACAACTGCACTGGATGTAATAAGCGCATCCTGATCTCTGGGAGCTTAGAAATCGGAAGCCAAATCTTCAGGGGCAAGGCCCAGCCAGACTTTTGCAAATGTAAAAAGCTGAACAGCCGAGATTGGGAGCCAGGGGTTAGTAGAAAGAGCCGGGATCAGAGAGCCGTTCTTCAATCTTGTTTCCTCTGCTATTGGCTGTTTGGTTTGGGGTGAATTATGTAACTGTTCTAAGCCTCTGTTTCTTTATCTCTAAAATGGTGGAAAGCAAATCTTCCTCTGTAGAGCTGTTATGAGTTTTAAATGAAAAAGGGAAAAATCAATAGAAGGCTTGGTGCAGTAGCTCCTACCTGCTAGGCACTCAATAAAGGTTCATTTTTCTTCCTCCCCCCCTCCCCTTCGTTTCTCCCCATCATCCTTGAAGCAGTAGGTCGGGCTAAGTACTTGTGCTGTGCTCTTGAAGTACCAGCTTTCCAGGATTTATGGTGCAATAAACAATTAGAGACTGGCCACATCATACAGAAGCTATTCCTAGGTGTGTGATATCTCGGTTACTTTTATTGCTGCAGGGGTTCTGGCTGGAGAGAGATCATCACTGAGAATCAGGAGCCAGGGAAGGTTTCCTGAAGAGGAAGAATTTAAGAGGAGTCAGCCAAGGTGAGTAGGTTCTGCCAGAAGAGGAGAGAGAGGGCCTCCGAGGCTGTAAAGGAACCGTATCCCAATCGTGACTTCCAAGTGATACCTGAAGGTACTAATGTTGAAAGACAGTCTGTACTTTGCAAGCACTTATGTGACATGTGTCTTTGCATGTCCTTGATCAAGAGAGTGTGGAGTTTCCTTTTTTATTGGAATGTGTGTGAGTCATGTGAGTTTAGGAGATGTGTTTTTAGAGATCCCTGCATTTGTTTCACATGCACATTCCCCACTGTATTATGTGGGACAAATCTGCATGCAGCTCTGTGTTTGGACTTGCCTTCTCCTGGGGAGAGGGTACCAGCGTGGCTTCTTAGAGAAACACCGCACGCCTCATAAATCACAATGAATTTTCTGAACACATAGACCAAAAAGCTGAATAAAGATGACATCATCCCTCTGAGAGGCGAATTTTTTCATTCAGATTATCGTCTGAGTCCTGTGGGAGGCTGGTCCAGGACAGCACGCCCCCCCCCCCCCACCACCAATTGTCAACAGCAGAGGATCCGCTTAGGTGGGTCTGAGGAGGGCAGGGGCAGGTAGCCAGGCAGCCTCTGCCCTAGGGTTCTTCCCCTGCAAGTTCTGGGCGCCTCCCAGGCTCAGTTAACTGGTGCTGACAGCCTATCTGTCCTCTGCTGAGATGACTTAGAATGACCTACTTTGAAAATGGCATGAACGTGGCGGAGTGCCAAGGAGTTGGGGTGCAAACAGGCCCCGCCCAGAGGGCTCCCGGCAGAAGGGAGCAGGCTCTCGCAGGGGTCCCTGCAGAGGCTGTGTGCATGGTCTTGTTTGGGTGTTGGTTGCTCATTTTTTTTTTCTTCACTTCCCTCCCCACACACACACACCCAGGGCCCTGCCTCTTACAATTCATCTTTCTGCTCTGGGAGTAGAGGCTATTGATTTGCTGGGCCGGCTGTGAAGTCAGAGGAAGGCAGCCAATCCCGGAGCCCTAGGCCAGCTCTCGGCTGCATCTGGCTGAGGTAGTCATGAACAGAGGTCGCAGGCTGAGTCTCAGCTGCAGGCCAGCAGTGCTCTTTCCAGGGCAGAGAGGAGCCGGAAGACTTTGAGCTGACCCCCAGAGCCGCCTCCTCCTCCTGGGGCCTGTCCCCTGGCTTCCAGTGCCACCTCATCTAAGCCTGGCCTCCACCCGTGCATGGGCTTTAAAAGCCCAAGAGGGAAGAGAGGAGGAGGGGAGGGGCAGAAATGATGGGAATTACATGACCCTGCTCTGTAAGCCATGACCCTAGATGATCTCTTCTTCCTCCTTCCTTCAGGACTGTGCATTTAAAAAGTGTGCCATCTTCAAATGCAGGGACAGTGTCTGAATGTGAAACTGATCTTTTCCCAAACCAGCAGCTCTGAATCTAAAATAAGCAGATTCCCAGCATTTACCATCTTGGTAAGACTCTTCCTAAGGGGAAGAAGGGATTTGTTTGTCCAAGCAGGTAAAGAACAGGAGATGATTTATCAGCTTTTATTTCAGGATATTTGCAGGGCGGTAATTTGCTGATTGGTTTGGGTGATTATCAAGTGGGAAAGGAGAGAGTTTTGAATTCATATTTGAATGTAAAATGGAATATTCGATATTTATTGGAAAGATCCATTTAGATGATAGACATATAACATCTGAGCTGCTGCTCTACGTGCCTCTCTTCTTGTTAATTTGGATTTTTCAAAGCTGTAAGGATATTTTGTTCCCATGCATTTTCCCAACCTGGAGAGCTCTCTCTGTTGCTCGAGGTTCCTGTGCAATCCGCCACTGGCATAACTACCCCAGCCTTCTGGCCTCCCTCGGGCCTTGGCCTGCAGAGTATCACGCATCCACTGAGGGCTAGAGACACTTTCCTGAAAGACCTAGCAAGATGTTAAATCTGGAATCACTGTCCTGAAATGCCATGCATGATTTTTCACATAAATTCAGTTGGTAGCACATCAGTAAAGGTCGGCAGAAATGGGCTTTAAGATCCGGGAATACAAGCAAATTTTTTTTCACTTTCTGGGAAGGGTATAGAATCTCCTGGGTGCTGTCCGCAGTGTTGCTGGCTGCCGACCTTCTCCAGCTGCTGGCTTGGTGGAAGGATTGCCTGGGGGAAATGAGAAGAGCCCTGGACGCGGTAGAACTAGACCATGAGTTCAACACTCAGCGGTTCCAGGACACTTCACATGGGCCTGCCCGGATCCTGACGTCATCTTTGGCAAACCATCCTCCATTTCTTCAGTCCAGCTCCTTGCAGATGCCTGGCTCACAGATGGAAGAACAGAGGCCGCCAAGGAGCTGGTCATTTGCATCCGCAGATCATTCGCGGGAGCCTCCCCCTGGCAGCAGGTTTTCATTTAAAAAGCTGAATGAAGGCTTTTGTACCCAAGACTTAAAGCCACCAGGCAAAAGAGACCCTGCCTCCTCCGGGGGCCAAGAGATGAGGGAGAAGACCAAGCCCTGGGCTGAGAAGGGGCTTTTGGAGGAAGGAGTAAAGTTCTGAGAAACCAGCTAACTTATTCAAGAGACAAGAGCCCCCCGTGGAGGACAGAGAGGGGCCACAAACAGGGCTCCCCAGGAAGCTGAGCCAGAGAGGACGGAGAAGGTGGTGTGGTTGGGTAGAAGTGCTCATATTCTTTCCTCACAAGAGAAAAGGTGCCTTCTCTTTTAATTTTACAAGCCAATCCCTTGTAGCTGGCTTTAGGAAGTTGTCTCTCATCATTCATGAACTTCCTGAACATCCAGGAGAATGTCATGCTGTGTCGTGTGTCACTCAAAAAGAGTGGGGGATGCTCTTCAACAGACGCATGGACGATGAAAATGTGGTGCATACGCACAGTGGAATATTACTCAGACATAGAGAAGAATGAAATCATGGCATTTAAGGATACATGGATGGAACTGGAGACCATCATTGCTAAGTGAGATAAGCCAATCCTCAAAAAACCAAAGGTCAAATGTTCTCTCTGATATGTGGATGCTGACTCACAATAAGGGAGGTGGAGAGAAGAAGAGACGTTCATTGGATTAGACAAAGGGGAATGATGGGAAGGGATCAGGGAGGGGAATAAGGAAGACAATGGAATGAATCAGACATAACTTTCCTACGTTCATACGAATGCTCAACCTGTGTAACTCCACCTCACGTACAGCCACAAGAGGGGGAGTTATACTCCACGCAGGCATACTGTGTCAAAATACCTTCTACTGTCATGTAGAACCAAAAAAGAGCAAATCAAGTTTTTAAAACAATAATAAAAAGAGTGGGGCAGCCCTAAAGGAGGACATCAAAGAAAGAGGAAGAAGCCTCTTTCCACCATTCATGGGCGCCATGTCTTCCCTCTCCCTCCCACCCAGAAGCTTGGGTTTCTGTTGAGCAGAGCTGGGCTGAGCTTTCCCTAGCTTAACCACAAGAGGGATGAATGCAAAGAGAAAGGGAAGAAGGGGGGGGGTAGCTGAGAGTTTGAACCCCTGCACAAGCCAGAGCCTGCGTGCGGGTGTCACATCATGCACCTGCGCTGTCCCTGATGAAGACGCCACCCGCTGCTGCTGCTAAAACTCCACCTTCCCTCGGTCTGGAAGTTTTTCGAAATGTTGAGCAACAGGCTGGAGGTTTGCAAGGGACCTGCTGCAGCCTTCTGGTGTCCAGGTTGGGTGACACGTTCAGTTACCCCAGGTCCCCAGCCCCCCTCCCTCTCTGTCCTCCACTCTCCCTGTTTAAAGAACCACACTGAATGAGGTGGTAGCAAGAGCAGGAGAATCAAGACAGAGGTGGGGGCTCAGTGGGAGAGCGCTTGCCTAGCACCTGTGAGGCACTGGGTTCCATCCTCAGCACCACATAAAATAAATAAGTAAAATAAAGACAGACATGGAACAAGAAATAATAATGATAATTGCCAACAGAGATTGAAGTGATTGAACAAGAACAGGATCCAGAAAGGAACGTGACATCAACTCTATTGGTATACTTCCATTCAGACAGAAGTCTGTGATCAGGACGGAAAGTGATTCTAATCTAATATCTGGCATGCACATTTCATGAAACCTTCTGAAGAAACAGATCACCCTTGGAACATATTTGGAGACAACGTTGTGCTTGGATTTGGCTTTCTGATCTCCTACACAGGGAAGTTTGTGGGGAAGCAGATCATATAGTTTTATCAACTACTTACAGATGCAAATAAGAATAACATCTCAGAACACCTCACTCCGGAGCATTTGCATCTAATGAAAAACATGTCAACATTTTAGGTCTCATTCACCAAGAGAAGCTGGGAATGGGGGGCAGAAATATCAATTAATGTGCAGTATGAACTTCATATTCGCTGGGAATACAGCATGATTTTGCAGAGAATCATCTCTTTTTACTTTCATGATTGCTATGTGCTGAGATCTGCGCTGCATCTTTGTGGGCAGGGATCCTCATTTCATGTGGAGAGAATTCAAATCAGCTGGAGCTTGGTCACCAGATAGCGGAGCTGCAGGATGGTGATTTCCTCCTTTAGATTCTGTGCGGGGTTCTGCTGGCGCCCGGCATTAACATGAAATTAACAACACGCTACTCACATGGAACTTTGCATCTAAAAAAAGCCCACATTATGCTTTAAGCCTTTTATTCCAAAATAATAGAAGTCATGAGGTTAAAGTTTGCTCATACACTTTTCTCTGGAGCAGCTGTACAATTTTATATGGGGGATGAAAGTGGATTCCATGTGGATCTTTGTCAATTGAAATGTGGTGAAAGAACGAGGGCCTAAGCCTCACTCCCCCGCCCCACCCCAAGCACGTATTTATGATTTCCTCCTTGCAAGCACTCCAGAAATTTCTTTGGAAATAAGAAATGCGCCTGATGTTCACATTCATTGTCCTTATTATTTGCTGTGTATCAACAGTATGACTCATCTCAGCTTCAAGGAGAATAGAGGAGAATTTATTAAACGTCATTTAATAAATTACCATTGTACATTTACAATGTTTGGCAGGACAA